TGAAGAACATGTTTAGAATGGTGAGTTAATATTGTGCTGCCATTACTCAGTTCATCAGATTCTGCTTTTGGAATGGACATGATCAAGAGGATGCTTCAGACTGGGCATCCAACCATGCTCAGCTGATTATCAGACTAGGCAAGCTAATTCACTCCCTAAATCTCTTTCGGGGTAAAACAGTTCCTCTACTTGCGATATACATAAATGCTCAAATTAAACATGTAGCAAAGTGCAGAACTGATGAAAGCCAATGAGGCAGGCAAGGTTTGAATATCTGAAGATATAATAGCTAGGTGCATAATTGAATCCATTATCTTGTAAATATTATCTCATTTACATCCTTTTCCTTTTCTTGAGATGTTATCAGTTGCTGTATGATATTCTTACTTCTTGGGTGAACTACTCAGCAGAATCATGCATTCATGCTCATGCTGTCTCCTTGAGCAAAAATGATTACCTGATTTCTGGTGCAGCTATATGAATATATAATTATGAAGGAATGATTTTATTTTATATTTATAAATTTCGTTCACCTATACTCTTTATTGTTTTCTTATTCCTACATGCCTTAGCTGAGTTATATTACACATTGAATTACTTATAGATAATTCCGCCCCCAACACATATAAAGATTATGCAAATACCCTTCTTATTTATGACCACCGAATTCTATAAGGTTTTTTCTTACGTTATTTGGAAGAAAAAATGATACTGAAATGTTTATAGCCACATGTCACGGATTATATTGGAAAGATTTTTCACCCTTGAAGTCGACGGGTTGAGCCCCGGTGGATAAGCCACTTTCAGTGGGAACTTGGATGGGAGCAATTGTGCAAACAAAAATATCAAGCAAAAAAAGAGTATTGAGAGGAAAAGGAAACTATGAAGCACTTTGCTCTAATTCATGGCATGTGTCATGGAGCTGGGTGCTGGTACGAGAATGTCTTACTCCTCAAATCAGCTGGCCGCCGTGTCACTCCACTGGATCTTGGTGCCAGTGGAATCAAGTCCAAGAAGATTAGTGAGTGTTTATCTCACAGCCTCTATGCCAAATCATGATTCTCCTCCTGGAACTGGAGTAGAAGAGGTACTAATTAATTAAGCTTTACATTCTATAAATCTACTTTTTTTACAAAGAAAATAGAAGTTTGAGGATAAAAAAAAATTTATAAGTATTAGAATTTAAATTTTAAATTTATTGAATATCATTTTCTAAACATATTTATATGGATCAATTAAATTAAGTTTTAGGTTCAAATCTCCCTTTTTTTTCCTCGAATTTGAACTTAATACTTTTTAAATTTAAGTTATGGATTCTAATTATGATGATATCTTATATTCAAGTTAAAACATTTTAAATTAGAATTTAGACTTTAGATTTGTTTATTTATTCAATCATCTTTAAAAGTTATATTTAACAAATTTAAAATTCAAACCACAACACTTTTAACCTTTACTTTTATTTTTAGACTTACTTATTTTTACAAAAAAAAAAAAAGTGAGTATGAAGTGTTGAGACTTTGTTCATGTAAGAACATAGTTAATTGTGAACTATTGATAGAAATGTATTTTATTTTAAAAAAATATCAAATCATATTCTTTGGAAAAATAAATAAATAAAAAATACCATAAGCCGTCGATGATTTGAATGAGGACATTTTCTTTTTTCTTTATTTTTTAAATTGAATATGCATTCAAGGCTAGCAATTTTCATAACTATATGCAAATGCAAGTTTCAAAACATCTAATTTTTGGTTGAATATTTATGGAAGCTAGTACTTCAAAAGGGTTATGGCAGAGCCCATCATGGATTTCCAGCTATCGTTTGATGATGGACCAGAAAATCTACCAACTCATGCCTTATTTGGCCCAAAATTCATGGTGGCAAAGGTTTATCAACTGTCCCCTAAAGGGGTCAGTAACTCAGTATCTCATCAAAATTCAATTTCATCTGCACCAAATGGTTAAGAACACTAATGTGGTTGTGCTGATGTTGTTGGAATGTAGGATATAGAATTGGCAAAAACGGTGATGAGACAAGGAAAGTGGTTTATGAAAGATTTGTCAAATGAATCTCTGCTAACAAAAGAGAAATTTGTATCGGTTCATCGAGTTTTTATAGTTTGCAATGATGATTTGCTGATAAAGGAAAGCTTGCAGCAATGGTACATTGAGCATAGCCCAACAGGTGATGTGAAGTTCATAGCTGGTGCTGACCATATGCCCATGTTCTCCAAGCCCAAGGAGGTCTGCAAATGTCTCCAGGAAATTGCTGAGAAATAAAATTGAAATTGTTGAATTGCCATGAAACGTTTCACTAAGCCAACTTTGTAATCATCATCTCGTATTAATAATAAACCAATAAAGAAACCAGAGCTGTTTACAAGGCCAATCAAGCAGCAGGCAGGGGCCATCTCCTCCAAAATTTTGATCGTATTATAGTTTTAATTTGATCCCCTTAACATAAAATTCAGCTTCCATTCCCAACTTGATTCATTATTTTCGCTTCCTTTATAATTTTACGGGTTTTACTCCTACCAGATTACAGTAAAACTGATGATATTATATATTCCCTCCCAAGATGTTTATTCATATGTTTGGTTCAACATGAATTTAAAAAGAAATGACTGATATTTTTGTTTATAATATTATCATGTTTGATCATTTTTAATAAAAAATAAAACAAAAAAAGCATAAAATATTCCAAATTAAAAGATAATTTTTTAAAATACATGATGGAAGAAGTAAATTAGTTATATATGATGTCTACTTAATTTGAATAGAACTCAAATATTTTTTAAAATAAAAATTAAATTATAAATATAAATTTACTTATTTATATTCGATTTACTTAAATAAAAATGAGATAAATTAAATCTTTTAATTTGTAACTTCAGAGCCTACTTTGAATTTTTGTAGTCATTTCAATCAGTCTTTTTTTTATTAAAAAGAAAACTATTTTGATTGAATTAAAAAGTTAGAAACTTCTTATGCTGGGAAACAGGATGAGAATTTCTTTACCGGAAAATAGAGGCAATGGCAGAGGTCAAAAAACAAAAGCATTTCATTCTAGTTCATGGAGCATGTCATGGAGCCTGGTGCTGGTACAAGCTCAAACCACGGCTCGAGTCAGCAGGCCACCGGGTCAGGGCCATCGACCTGGCGGCCTCAGGCATTCACATGAATGCAATCCAGGGTGTCCACTCCATGTATGAATACACCAAAACATTGTTGGAGATTTTGGCCTCAGTGCCTCCAGGTGAAAAGGTTATTCTTGTTGGGCATAGCTTCGGAGGCCTGGGTTTGGCCCTGGCTATGGACAAGTTGCCGGAGAAGATTTCAGCTGGTGTTTTCTTGACTGCTTTCGTGCCTGATACAGCACATCATCCATCATTTGTTTTGGAACAGACACTGCCTCTCTCTCCCCTTTTAAACCCTGCAAACCAATTCTGGCAATTTTTTCATAAATTCTTCTTAATTTTTTTTGAGATTGTTAGTCCCCTTTAATAAGAGTTCAAAGATTTCGACGAACCGTTCAAGAATATTTTTTTTCATTTATTTTTAATTATTAAATTTAACAAATTATTTTTATTATTATTTTTATATTTATTTATTAAATAAACCTAATATGAACATAAATCTATTTGATTAGTTCATATTTACCGACAAATTTATTTAAGATTTGTTTAAAATTAATTTGTTTATTATTTGATTATTGTTCAATAATAATAATAACACAATTATATTTTTATTTTTTTAATCATATTTTAAGATTTATTTGCATTTGTATTGATTTATTTATTTAAATTTATTTTATTATAATTTATTTATTATTTAATATTTATAAATAAATTCGTTTAATTTAATCAAATTAAACATAAACTCAATATAAATATCATATTATTTAAATAAATCAAACTCAAGAATAAAATTATTTTCTTATCAAACATAAATCAACACATGAATAACTTTAAAAATAAATCAACAAACCGCGTATATACATTTATTCGATTATGTTCAAATCATTTCCATCCCTACATTTCAGTAGAAGCACATGGCACACAACAAATTTCTTTGTTTTTTCTACTATGGAGATTGGCATATAGCTGCAGGGCTCGTTTTACCAATAATTGACTTCAAAAGTCACATTGGTGGAACAGTGTTAAAAGCCTTCGAGATAACTTCTGTTTTTGTCTTGTATTTTCAACTGTACTGGGAGAGGGCCCCAGTTGAAGCTTGGTTGGACACTCAATTTGCTCCATAAGGAAGACCTGAACAGTCTTTGATGTCAATATTTTTGGGGCCAAAGCTCCTAACATTCAAATTCTATCAGCTATCCCCTGTTGAGGTATCTGTTTTCAACCTTTTCGCCACTGCCTGTTCAATGTCCCTAATTTCTACGAACATGTTGATTTTATTACTCAAAGCAAAATAAAACATTGTATGCTTTCTGAAGGACCTGGAGCTGGCAAAGGCTCTTATTAGACCAGGATCCTTGTTTGTGAGCGATTTGTCAAAGGCAGAAAAGTTCTCCCATGAGAGGTACGGATCTGTTCCCCGAGTCTATGTTGTTTGCAATGAAGACGTAGGGATACCAGAGAAATTCCAAAGCTGGATGATTTTAAACTTTGAGGTTAAAGATGTGGAGATTAAGGATGCAGATCATATGGCAATGTTCTCAAAGCCACAAGAACTTTGTAACTGTCTGTTAGAGATAGCACAAAAATATGGCTGATCATGTTAATCAACAAGATTTGTTGATTTAATTTTTCAATTAGAGTGGCTCTCAAACAGGTTTTTTTAATCAACAAGGATTGCTGTCATGGAGGTACAGTGGGATATCTAATATGGGGAGTGGATTTTGTTGTTGGGTTGTTTTTTGTTATTATTTTTAGTCGCTTGCAATCACTAAGTTTAAATCATATAAAGTAACGGTTGGGTTTTGGAGTAAAAATAGTTATTTTGATTGCCATGGTTGGACTAACTTTAAAACCGAAATATCGATTCAGACATAATTATTGCTTAATATGAGCAAAAAGAAAACGGTACAAGTAATAATTAAGTTTGGCATTTATGCCTTTTTAGTGGAACTGTTTCACTTTCACCATGCATCAAGCAGACTTGCCAGGCTAAAAGTAGAGCAAATTTCCTACCCACCAAGCACCCCTAATCATATTTATCTGCAATTTCTTCAAGGCAAGAGCAGAGCTCCTGGGGTTTAGAAAACATAACCATGTGATCAGAGTCCGGAATCAGCATCACCTCATCTGGTGGATTGTTTTCAATCATCCACCTTTGGAAGTCTTCGTCTGTGACCTTGTCTTTGTCGCACACTATGTACACCCGACGCACTGAACCATATTTCTCCCTGGTCAGTGCAGTTTCTTCAATTGCTGCTGCATCATTTTGACTACCGAAAGGTCTGGCTAACAATATTGCTAGTGTTAAATCCTGCCCCAATTTATAACATATAAATGAAGAAATATCAGCTGTCCTCTCAAAGGCAAGGAAAACTATATTGGAATGAAGTACCTTTGCAAAATATGTAAATGATAAAGGCTGTTTGAGAACTCTTTACCTCAGGAGGAGAGAGCTGGTATAACATGGTTGACATGAAATTTGGCCCAAAGAGTAATGAGTTTGGAGGCTTATCAGGCCCGTTATCAAACGTAAATTGTGTGTCCATGAAGGATGCCAATCTTTTATGGAACTGTTGAAGAAAAGACCAGCCAAGAATTAGGCTCAAGACCAAATGAAAGTTGTAGTTACATCAATATTGAATGCAAGAGAAAACGGATTGAATTTGCACCAACTACTATTTCGATCACCAGATCCCACCATTTGTCTTTCCTTCCACCTTTCCCCATTGTAGGGTCCAGGGGTGGTTTAGTTTCAAAGGAAATTAGAGGTCAGGGACCACAAAGAAGAAAAGTTTGATTTAATAGGATGAAAGATTGAAACGGTAGCTACAATTATTTGAGAGCCGTCAAGGTTGGCTCATCCCTTATCCTATTTTGGAATGCTGGAAAAGAAAATACTCAGATAAGTCTTACTATTTTCTTGGTTCCATCGGATCCTCATCAATGAATCAAGTGAAACAATTGTAGATCATGCTACTTATATATCCTAGATCTACGCCTCTCAGCTAAAGCTGTAGATTTGCATAGCATACTTCAATATGATGCAGCAGGATAAACATCAAAACTGAATTTTATCCCTGAAAACTTATGTGACTCGCTTGATCACCAAGGACCCATCTTTCATGGAGGTCATAAATTCAAATGGAAAGAATGCTATATAACGAAGGGCAAAAGTAGCAATGCATGCCCATCTGTGAAACGAGAGAGAGAGAGAGAGAGAATAGCAAGTACCTCTTGATGCAAAGAAATGTAACTGAGGTCGGGTCCAGGCATACTGGCAGGGGCAAAAACTGCGACAGAAACTTTCTCAGGGAATCTTTCCATGGCAACAGAAATGGTGACTCCACCCAGGCTGTGGCCAACCAGAATCACCCTCTCCTTTGGTGGGAGAGACGCCATGAAATCCATCAATGGTTCAGAGTAGTCTGAAATCGAATGAAGCTCATGTACTTGCTTTGGATGGACCCCAGAAGCAGCCAGGTCGAGAGCTGTAACTTTGTGGCCCGCTGATTTCAACAGAGTTACCACCTTATACCAGCACCATGCTCCATGACAGGCTCCATGGACAAGCACAAAATGACTCTTTCCCTTCTCCATTTTTCGCCTTTCCACCCTTTCTTGCCTTTGATCTTTTGATTTTGCCATATCAGGTCACTTCACACAATCACACCCGGGTCCCAAACTTTTAAAATCAAGTGGCCCCATCCATCAGCTACTGTACTAATTGTGATAATTGAGCTTTCAAATGTCGCACACTCGTCGTTAAATATATAAATATACATTAATATTTATAAATTATTTAAATTTGATTCGAATAAAATTTAAATTTAATTTAATATTTATTAAGTTAAATTCGAATTCAAATAATTTGATTCACCAATCGAATCGAATTTGAATATTTTTTTAATTAATTCTAGTAACTCACAAACTTAATCAAATTTTTATATTTAAATATATTTTTATTATTTTAATTAATAAAATATTTCGAATTCGAGTTCAAATTTGAATATAAATAATCGAGTTTTTATCAAATATAAAAATTAAATTTATTTTTATATATTAATAAAACTTAATCGAACGAATTTAAGTAATTTAATTTTTATTTCGAATCAAACTCAAATTAAAAAAAATTAAATCGAGTTCGAATCAAATTTTAATTCTTAAATTTTGAATTGAATTTAAATTTGAATTTAATATTATATTGATTCAAATTTAATCAATTACACATCCACCCGTAAGCCTTAGCTCTATCAAGACTTTGAAAATGAATACACACTATAAATTTAACAAACCCATAGACAAATTCATAACAAAAATTCAGTAAAAAATTAATAGTAACTTTTGATTAACATACAGATGAGGCTATGAATTCAGACAGAGTTCCAAGAACGTTGCCGGCTAACTGTTGAATGTACGGGCTTTCCAGAAATTTTAGGATTTATGTGATTTGGGTTATCAAGAAATTTGTGAAAAGTAAAAACGAAAAAGCGAAAAGAATATAAAAAAATTACCACGTTAAATAGTGCTTTGGATAAAAATTGGTGGTTCTGTGAGTTTGGCTTTATGGTGACTGACGGTGAAAGGGTGGAATGAATCGTGATCAGACGGCAGAGACGTAGGAATTCAGAACCAGTGAGCCAATATCACGCTCCAAGCCCGAGACTTATATTACTTCGAAGGAACTCTTTAAAATAGTATGAAATTTTTTTTTAATCATTATAAAAATTTTTAATAACTGATGATAAATTTTTATATATTTGAATATAAGTTAATAAAAATATAAAAATATTTTATAAAATATCATTGATCAATATTATTTCTAACGATTAAATAATATTTTTTATTTCCATTTTCTATTATCTCATAAGATTAAAAAATCTTATAATCTACTTATTTATAAAGAAAAAGTCAAATAAAAATGAGCAAACTATAATTCAACAAGTATAAGTTCACATATCTTATCAGATCAAGTATCGTTTTATACATATCATATAAATCATTCAAAACATTCGTCAAATCATAAAATCAAAACATTTCAAAAATCATCATTACGTCAAATATTTCGTAAATTATAAATCAATATCAATCATATCAATTCATAAATCATTTCAAAATATGTTATCATTCAAGTACCGTAATCAAACCAAATCATGAATCAATTTTTAAAAATCATCGTAAATTATCATCATCATAAATCATTAGTTCATCATTAATTACAGTCACTGCTATAACTCGTAACATTGACCTTATCGATAATTTCATCATCATAATTATTGTTAATTATTATAACTTGCTAGTTAGAACCTTACGCTAATTACTATAAATCGTTAGCAAGGCCATATAATCATGGTTATGCTAACTATTATAACTCATTGCTAGAACCGTAGAACTAATTATAGTGTTAATAATTCCACTTCCTAAGTGTAAATACCTATTTAGTTTGGGATATTTTTAAATTTTTTTAGGATTTTAGGATTTTAATATTTTATTTAGTTTCGAATTAATTATTTTGTTAATTAATTGATTTATGATTTTTTTTTAAAGTTTAATTCGATTTAAAGTCTAATATTCTAATTAAAAAAGGGAATATATTAATTAAAAAGGTTGGCTTGGATTAAAAATCTAAAATTAACTTTGATTAGGAGATTGAAACCAAGAAAATCTTCTCGTATTGTGATTTGGATTATATGCTTATAAAAAGATCCAATTAAGATCAATTGAGACAATAAAAAATTAATAAAAAAAAATCAAGAGAAAAAGAGTAAAAAATTAAGATTTTTTTATAGTCTTTTTCAATATTTTGGGCTTAGATAATTAGGATTTTCTCTTAAGAAAATTATGTTGGAAAATGAGCTGAGAAGAAATACAAAAGGGAGGCATTCAGCAAAAAATTTTTACAGTAAAATTTTTAAGGGTTTTGGGTATATATATTTTAGGTTTCTATTTGATTTTTATTTAAACCAGAAAAAAAAAATCACTATTCGCAAGGGGTGCCAACAAAGCCATAGGTTGTTTTGTAGAGAAATAAGAAAAAAGACAAGGTAATTTTTTTTTATTTGTATATTTATTTATGTTACTTAGTTGTTTTTGTTTCTTTTTTTGTGCATATTTAAAATAAATTTTTATAATAAATTCATGATTCTTATTAAATGATTGGAAGATTTAAATATTGAATTATGAGTTCTACCAAACAATTGGAGAATTTTATAATAAATTTTTAAAAAATAATTTTTCAAACCTACCAAACAATTGGAGGATTCAAATTTTCATTAAATTTTACCAAACTATTGAAAAATTTAATGACTTTTTTTTCAAAAGAAATTTTCAAGGTTTTCAAATAAAAATCTCACCAAACGATTGAAGGATATGCATTAATATAAAATCTTACCAAACGATTGGAGGATTTTATTATTTGCTTTCAAAAAATAATTTTTTAGAAAATATGTTAATGAATCCGATGACGGAGCCTTGTCAAAGTGGGACATGAATATATATGAATACTTCTAAGGTGATAAAATTATCTTAAATCACTACCAAACTATTAGAGTAATTTTAAAATCAATTTCTAATAATTAAATTTACTTAGTAAAAATTTAAAAATATTTTAAGGCTTGGATAACATGAAATCAAACTAGTACCATCATTTGATGGGCATTATAAAAGTGCTATAATATTTCTCACACGTAACCGTACTCCTAGATTTAGTCTTGATTTTGTAGACATAAAATCTATCTTTTAAAAATACTTAAGTTAAGTTTAAGATTTCTTTTTAAAAAGAGACAGATTCACTTAGATGGCCAATCACACTTTACAAAAAATATTGGTGGTAACTCCTAAAGTCAGGTATAGCTATAGGTTTATGGATCTATACATTATGATAGTTTAATAACTCTATTGAGGATAGTCGAGAGTTAGGTTAGTAAACTCGTGTTATCCAAAACTTAAGTTAAAATTAAGAATTTTTCTTTGAATGTTTTGTCTATTTATAATTGTACCATATTTTGTCATTTACTTGCATATATACAACATGAGCTCTACACCTGAGTTTCGCCCTTTAGGAGAGAGTTAAATACCTATGCTCTTATAAGATTTCATGTCTTCGTCTGAGTTAACGAAACACTCACTCAAATTGAACCGTTTTCGTTTATAACCTGTGATAAGCGAGGATTGGGATATCTTACTAGTATGTGATGAACAATGATATAAGAAACAATTTGAAAACCTTTATATTTAACTTAAACCACATGTAGTTAACCCTAAGAAGCCAAACCTAGGTTATATCCACCCTTGTTAGAATGTAACCCAAGTTAGAACACATGAAAAACTTTGGCAATGTCATTTGTATAAGTTTTATGATAAAGTTGAAAGAGTTTGAGTTTTATTCAATCTTTTATGTGTTGTTATGCGGAATTCATACATTTATTCATCCATGCATCATTGAATTTTTATGTATCTAGCATCTAATATATGCATTCATCAATCTACATCATTATAAGGCAAACATTAACTCATGCATCCATTCATGCAGTCATTTATCAATCTATAAATCATTAAATTGTTATGTGCATGCATTTATTTATTCATTCATGCATCATTGAAATATTGTGTATCACATTCAATATGTGCATTCATTTATTCATTCATGCATATAAAAAAATGTTTCTAACAAGTTAGGATAATTCTTAGCATCTAGTAACATATCATCTTAATTGTGGTAAAAAAGTTTGAGGATAGCTTAATCTTTGTATCAAGCTAGAATTATGGTAGAAGAACAAGCTTTTCACTTTCAAAAGATGAAAAATGCATAAGAAAATATAAAGAGGTAATTAAAAGATGTGGTTGAATTACTGAAGAATTTAAACAAAGAGAAAATAACGGTTGAACAGATTGATGATCTAATATACCTACTGGTTTTGGCACATATTCCAAACAGACATCTTAAGGGGCTCAATATCAAATGCCATTTTACAGTAAGCTACCCTTACATACATCCTGACAAGCCTGCAACTGCTACTCTTACTCATTTAGCTCTTATTATTGATCCAACTCAAGTTCCTAATCTAGATGATCAAAATAAATAAGAGAAGTTGAAGACAAATATAGTAAAAACCAATGAAGGCTTTGAATAAACAAAAAATGGATCTTATTGAAAAAAGGCTTCAAGTTATTGAAGGGATGGATTTTTATGGTTCAATGGAAACTATTAAACTATATTTGGTTCTTGGTATGGTCATTCCACCCAAGTTTAAAGTCCTTAAATTTGAAAAATATGATGCAACCAAATGCCTCATAATATGTCACTATGTACTACCGTCGTATATGCACATGATGAAAAGTTACTTATCCATATTTTTCAAGATAGACTTATTAGATTTGCTTTAAAGTGGTATGTCTAATTAGATAGGTCTAGCATCCGTGGTTAAAAGGAACTAGCTAGAGCATTCATCACACAATACAAGTATATCATATATTTGGCTTCAGATCATTTATCTTTACAAAACTTGAAAAAAAACACTAAAAGCTCTAAGAAATATGCGCAGAGGTGAAAGGACGTTGCTGCCCAAGTTCAACCACCACTCACAGACAAAGAGACCACAATTCTATTTGTCAATACTCTCAAAGCCCTATATTATGAAATGATGATTGGAAATACCATTAAGAATTTTGCTAATATAGTGATTTCTGAAAAAATGATAGAAAATGCAATCAAAAATGGC